AACCTGGAGCAATGTGCAGAACTGTACTTTTCGTTGACCAGCAGAAGGAGCGGTAGGGTGGGGTAGGGGGTAGAGGCGTGCATTTGTTTTATTTTAGGGGGATGCGAAATCACAAAGTTCGAAACCCCCTAGGCCGTATGATTATGAATAAAAACAAACAAACTCAGTGGTTTTAGCCCGCAAGTGAACTATACCGACCGAGCGACCGCCGCTTGTCGGCGAACTTAATGCCAACTTTAGCGAATAGAGGATGTTGCATGGTCAGCGCAACGAATCCCCATGACCGCTAATTTCGGTTTTCTAGACCAGAGTCGCTATTTCTTTGAAATAGCTCCTCAATTATTCTCACGAGGCTGAGTGGACCTCGTTCCAGCCCCACTACTTTTCAGAAAAACTGGTAGCGCCGGCAATCGAAGCCGGACCTCTGGATCTGTAGCCAGGAACTCTGACCACTAGACCAGAGAGGTGGTCATGATTATGAATAGGATTTGAAATATTATCAACAGGTTTATTTTATCAAATTATAAGTTCATTTCCTGTACAAGAATTTTCGAAAAGTATGTATAACTCTCCATAAGCAGGCCGCGCCATAGCTCAAGCGGTAAGTCGCTGGCTTCCCACCGCGGCGGCCCAGGATCGATCCCGGGTCTGGTCAAGTGGGATTTGTGGTGGACAAAGTGGCGCTGGGGCCGGCTTTCTCCGAGTACTTCGGTTTTTCCTGCCAATCTTCATTCCACCAAATTCTACATCATCATAATCACCCGGGGCAGGCTACAATAGGACAATCAGTGGCCGCCGTGTGGACCCAGTTGGACTCCATCACCCACTAAGCGAATTAAAAAAAAATAACTCTCCGTAACAGATTCGTACGCCGGTCACGGTAGCCGAGAGGTCTAAGGCATGTACTGTCTTCGCTCGCTCGGAAACCGGGATCGTGGGCTCGAATCCCATTCAGGGCATGGATGTTTAGTTTGTGTGCGTGCGTTTTTGTGTGTTTGTGTACAGGTAGAGGACTTGCGACGAACTGATCACGCGCCCAAGGAGTCCTACCGAATGTGTAAGATCTAGAAAAACCGAAAATGAACGGAGAAGTTCATAGAGGTAGGCCTAGGCCCACTGGGGCTGTTGTGCCAAGGGGGGGGGGAGAGATTCGTACTTCTGTTGATAGATTATTGCCTGCTGTAATGAGTCATGATTACGTCTTTTGGTATTTGAAGCAGAAGAGTTTTAAAAGATATGACATTTTTTAGACCTTGAATTTATCAGTTTTATAAAGGAAATTAATGTAATATACATTTTTATGAATACAGTAAAATCAAAAATTTGTGACGACGGTACATCAGTACAAATATTGTGTTTCTGGACATTATCCATCGTCCTGTCTTTATCTAAAAACACTGTCATGTTTATTTTTCAAAACACAACAGTTCGGAGACTGGATCCTATCTATTCTATCTCCGGCGATATGGACTAGCTCTATCGATTGGTCCCAACTGAGTATGTTTTATCTGACGACGGAGACAGAATCCAGTATCCGAAACGTTGTGTTTTGAAAAATAAACAGGACCGTATTTTTAGATAAAGACAGGAGGGTGGATAATGTCCAAAAACATAATATTTGTATATATGAATACACATTTAAGAGACAAAGTTGTCCCTGTGCTTAATTAATTAAGCACCATGCCCTGAAGTTATGTGGGTGAGTGGAGTTTTACCTCCATCATTATTGACCTTAGCACTACATATAGGTCAATGATCAGCTTCACACCCCGGCCGCTTTACCCGCGTGGAAAGAGCTGTCGGTACCCACTGCATAGGTGGCTGGGTGGGCCCCAGAGTTGGTCTGGACGCTGAGGAGGTAAGAAAATTCTTTTTCCCCTGCCAGGAATCGAGCGCCAGCCGTCCAGCACGTAGCCTGCCAATATACCGACTGAGCTATCCCATATAGCAGAATTTTACTTTAAAAAGTTTTTTACTACCCAGAAATGTAATTAATTATTACAGGCAACAACACTGGAAAGGTTTCGATAAGATACGGTTATCTTATTTTTATAACATTTTATCTGTTGTATTGTACGGCTGTGAAACTTGGCTGGGAACATAAATTGTGCTTCAGAATGGGGTGCTGAAGAGAATATTTGTACATAAGATGGAAGAAGTAACAAGAGACTAGATAAAACTGCATAAAGAGGAACTCCATAACTTGTATTTTTGCCTTATATGAGTAGGACTAACAAACAAAAAAGAGAATGAGATGGTGGAGACATGTAGCACAAATGGGAGACGTGAGAAAAGCTTACATTTTCGTCGAACACTTAGGAGAACTCTAGGCGTAAAGAGAAGGATAATATTAAAACGGATTTTAAAGAATTGAGGTGTGAGGTTGTAGACTGAATTCAACTGGTTCAGGATAGGGAGCAGTGACAGGTTCTTGTGAACTTGCTATATAAGCATCGGATTCCACAAAAAGGGGTGAGCGCATATCAACTCCTGAAGAAGGCCTATGCCCTATTAAATAAATTAAATTAGATAATTTATATGTAAAATATTAAATAAATATGTATTTAACATCTTCTTTATATGGATAACTAAAAACAATTGTAATTAGAAGTATGAAATATCATACGGTGATAATCAGGGTCCGGATTTTGATGACATGTCATCTTTTTTTCCTTGTATCCTATTCGATGCCCATAAATATATAAATCCCGGAGATGAGCTGATGGTTACAGAAATGTAACTTTTATAGGTCATTTTTTCGGTTTGGGGGTAATTTTTCGGTAAATGTTTGGACTTCTAAGGATCTTTTTGTCATTTTAGATAATTTTTCTTCATATGTTTTCAGAAATGTTAAATAATATGCAAGTAAAGTGTTCTTTCTCTTTCTCCTACCTCTACACAGGCAGCCTGCATCTGCACCCCGAATACCTGCTACCACAGTATGCAATAATAAGTTTTTATTCTGTCCTGTCCTTTCCGTTCATTTTGCTGAAAGTGCTGACATTACATACCATAAAACATTTTAAGCTGGCAGCAGGGTACGACAGCGGTCAATCACACTGCGGCCCTTTCCAAGTTCTGTGCAAAGGAATTTGCTTAGTTACAAGTATTTCTAGTCGAATCCCTCGCTTTTTATGACATATTGTTGTTCACTAAAGCTCCATCTGTCTTCAGTTTCTCGCTCTTGACCGTACAGAAAAAGATACAGTTGCCGAAAGGTTCTCAGTGTGAGAAGTTCAATTTTGTGTTGCACTAGAGTGATTCATTTTATCGCGATGCCTAAAGCAAAGCCACCTAAATCTTGTCATTTAAAGCAGAGTGTAGCTGAATTTTGAGATGATATATTTTCAACTGACGGTAATATTTTATACTGTAAGATGTGTGAGACAAAATTAGCGGCAGAAAAGAGATTCACGGTACAACATATCGGCCGCAACAAGCATATACGCGCAGTGCAAAGAAGTCTGTGCAAATGTTACTGCAACAGTGTTCATCTAAAGGCGGAAATAAGTAATCGGATTTTTTCACAGGTGTGTGATGCTCTGGTGTCCGCAAATATTCAGTTTTGGGCTCTGAAAAATGAAAAAATGAAAAAAATATCTGCAAGTGAATTGTGGTCGTTCTATCCCGGATGAGTCCACCCTCAGGAAGAACTACCTTTCCCAGTGCTACATCAATATCCTGGAAATGATTAGTAATAAAGTGCATGGGAAGAAGATTTTCGTTTCTATTGATGAGACCTGCGATACGGAGGCTCGCTACGTGGCAAACATCATCATTGGAACCTTGGAAATTGGCGGACCGGGTGAAGTATTTCTGCTTACGAGTGAGGTGCTAGAATCCGTTAATCATTCCACAATTAGTAAACTCTTCGACAGATCGATGTTTCTACTGTGACCAGAGGGTGGGTATACGACACGACATCGTCTTGCTTTTTGTGACCGATGCGGCCCCATATATTTTAAAAGCTGGCAAAGTCAATAAAGTCATTTTTATGTGAAANGGAGGAAGTGAGATCAAGATTTCCTCAAGTGGATGGTCTCGTGTCGTGGACGAAGAAGATTTTCGTCAAGGCTCCAGCTCGTAAAATACAATTTAAATGTATGGCTCCTGGTGTTCCACTGCCCCCGGAACCCGTCATTACAAGGTGGGGAGCGTGGATTGATGCTGCAATTTACCATTGCGATCATTTTCAGGTAGGGAAAAACATTGTAGATTCAATGAAGACGGAAGATGCGAGGGCAACTGAAGCTGCTCAGGAACAGTTCTCGTGTAGCGAAATGGAAGGACAGCTGCCCTTCATAATGGCAAATTTCAGTTCCTTGACGGAAGGAATCAAATGCTTAGAAGAGAAAGGAGCAACGCTAGAGGATTCGCTCGCTCTCGTGAATAAAATAGCCAGTGATTTGGAGAAAGTGTCAGGGGACATTGGTAAAATGGTGTCAAGAAAAATGAAAAATGTTCTGGATAAAAACTCAGGTTATGAAACATGTAGCATCTCTCGAATTCTGACAGGAGAGTCCTTAAGCACTTTCAGTATTGAAGAACTTACTGCTAGTGATTTGGTACACTTCAAGTACGCTCCCATTGTGTCTGCAGATGTGGAAAGGAGTTTCTCCAAGTACAAGAATATGCTGTCGGACAATTGGGGCTCATTCACCTTCCAGAATTTCCCCACGTTTACTGTCATTTATTGCAACGCTGAATGAGGTGACGCTTAAATGTTGGAATACATACCGTATATGTACATTTGATAAGCGTTCCAACGCGGTAGAGACATTCGTATTAAACATTTAGCATCAAATTCAACATAAAGACGAGGACGAACTTAAAAGAGTAATGTTGAGTTCACAGTGTTAATAAAGATTAAAAATACATTTTAAAACAACTAGTCGATTTTCCATGACACGATACATTTTTAGGTCGTTTTTTAACTCTTAGATAATTTAGATAATTATCTGGATTTTTCGGTCATTTTTCTGGATTTTCGGCCATTTTATAAGTCATTTTTTTCTGGATTCTTTCGCTCATTTTAAAAATATTTTAGGTCATCAAAATCCGGACCCTGAGTATCAGTATTTCAGTAGCGGTTCTTTAAATTACTCCTTTAATTCCATAAATAAAGCCATTGGTTGTCACTTACCACGCTAACCAATCGGAGTGTTGCATGAGATGATTCGTCTTGTTCGAAGGCCGCGAAGGCTAAGAGAATGGCTGCAATGACAAATCCAAGAACTGTCACAGTTATACAAGCAGGTCTGTTGCGAGGCTGACAGCATTTTTGTAATATAATTGGATGATGGGTTCTTGAGCGTTCAGGCATACCCGTGTTAGTAAAATGCTGTCACCTAACAACTAGAATTCACAACTAAATTAAGAACAAATGAACTCAGTCGAAAGAACACACATTCCTTTCTTTAATTTGCACTGAGAAACAATGTCGTTAACGGTGATGCGTCCATGTTATGGTAGATTTAAGAGTTTATTTAGTTGTTAATGATTAATAAACACTATGAAGTGTAACACTTTTGCTGTGGACCTGTGCTGGAAATAGTTATGTGTCTTCTGGTACACAGACCGTTATTACGTGCACACTGAACACAACTGTACAGAGAGATTGCGCGTAAGCAAATAGCTAAACACACGGGACAGCTTCGCACGGGCGACTGACTGTTCTAACAGTCATACGGACGGCCTTGGGCCGACTTCGCGTCGCAGTACAGCGTACTCAAGAAATCGTGACAATGATTAAGAGGTCATTGAACTGGACAAAACACACACACACACACGCACATATATATGTGTATATACGTCAGTTCCAAGTTTACGGTTTGATTAGTGCGTTGAATCAGGGGTGTGTTAATGCGCAGAGGCTCTTAACAGCCAGGTGGGAAATTCGTGCTTCTCTAATGACTTCTGATAATTCAATCTGTACTACAAATGCAAGAACACTAATACATCCTATACAGAGGCTAATATCGAGCACTGACAATCATTTTATTGCGTTCTTTTCTGTTCTTCCAGCTTTACCTTCTTTCGACTTCGTTCTCCTCTATCTCTCTCTCTCTCTCTCTTTTTTTTTACCTTTTCGCTTAGTGGGGGGTGGAGTCCAGCTGGGTCCACTCGGCACGGCGCCCACTGATTGGCCCATTGTACCTGCCCCGGGTGATTATGATGATGGAGAATTTGGTGGAATGAAGATTGGCACAGGAAACCGAAGTATTCGGAGAAAACCAGCCTAAGCGCCACTTTGTCCACCACAAATCCCACTTGACCAGACCCGGGATCGAATCCGGCGACTAACGGCTTGAGCTATGGCGCGACCTTCTTTGTTACCTTACTCTCCTTATTTTGAGAAAATAAATGTAGGCTTTTGCGATCTTCTTGTATGTGCGTCTGTGTATCTCCCCCATATTAATTTTTGAATGCCTCAACCAGTCTTTACGAAACTTGATATCATGGCACCTGAAATTATCTCAACGGCGTTTTCATAAATCCCTCCCATCAGTCTGTGCGTCTATATGTGAATCCCTCCTATCGCTGATACGAAACGGCTCGTTAAAACGTTACCGCGGCAGCGTACACAAGCAACAGTAGAGGAATTGTTGGGCGCGTCGCTTTATATAATATCCGTGTTGTGTCGAAGGAAAGTAGGAGATTGGTTATTCCCACAATTTCTTGTTTCTTCTGTTATCCCAGTTTTGTCTTCTTAGTATCAACTTTATTTTCTTCTTCCTTTTTTATATTTTCCGGTTGTGTTTATTTATCCCAAATACTCTGGAGCGATGAGCAAAAATAGTCTTAAACGACTTAAACAGATGTATGCAAGCAAACATTCTGGCAGCCTCTCCCGTAGAAAAATGGCTGTTCCTCTAGAAGAGTGGCTTCTCGCCTGGAAAATTGGCTGCTCCTTTAGAAAAATGGCTTCTCATCTGGAGAACTGGTTATCCCACCCCTTAGGAAACTGACTGTACCTCTTGACAAACCTTGTCTGCGTCCATGCCCCAGAAACTTGCAGACCGTTGTCGGCAGTCTTCACTGCTCTGTTACCGGAGAGGCTGTGAACTGCGTACGGAACACTTGTAAACAAGACACTGTCCGATCGATTGGTTGCTTGTGTCAGTTACATGACTTACGGAGAATGAAAAAGCAAGATAAATAAATCAGCTGCCCTATATTCGGATTCTCACTGATTCGAATCTCAACCGCTATTGGCAGTGACATAGCTCAGGCAGTTAGTCTCCGGCTTCCCACCACGGCGACTCGGTTTCGAGCCCGGGTCAGTTCATGTGGTATTCGTTGCGGCCAAAATAGCACTACGGTGAATTTTTCTCCGAATTCTTTGTTTTATTATCAGTTATCATTACATAAACTGCTCCACATTCATTAATCATCAAATCACCGACGCTATATTGACCTGTGTTTCCCTCCAAAAGTGCTCTAGCCGCTCCTTGCTGGCTTAGTTGTTACGTCGGTTCGATGGCTCGGACGGTACTGCAGCTTTCGTTCATATCCCGTGCTACTCTTCAGCAACACGGAAACGGATTTTTTTTTCTCAAGTTCGTTAAAGGGTAATTGGGTGGAGCTTCTCAAATGGGCAGGTTTAGTGACCAGGGTTGAGCTCTATCTCAGGACGAGGCGCGATAAATATAGAGGAGTTTCAGAAGCCTATGTATCATAACACTTTTTATAGACATGTTATTTAACTTTTGCCCGCATCCCGTCTACAATTACGTATGACATAGTTACAAAGTCGTAAATGTGTTGTAACACTTGGAAATATTGGGTCACCCTTTTGTGTCGTGACCATAGTCCTGGTACCCGGACCAACTTTCACCATCTCCAGAAGGGCACATAAAGTTCTAGTATTTAGAAATGACAGTCCAAGAAAAGCTACGCAGTGGATGGGCAGGTCTCTCTTGAGGACCGTTACACCCAGGTCTATTTTTCTGTTCTTTAGGCTTAGCACACAGAGGCTGGACTCCAGCGGCCAGGTAACTACATGCGTCCGGCTGTTCATGTCCAATACTTCTAATTATTTGCCAGAAAGAACGTACAAAGAACACTGCAATGTTATGAGCCGGTAGAAGTGTAATCATATACTTTCTCTTAGGTGGGCCGCACACCGGCATGCGTCAAGACATGTAATAGCGAAGACACGATATCTGTGACACAGCACAAAGAAAGGAGCACAGTTGAAACGAATGAGATTATGAAAACCGCCGCACACCGGTCTGAGTCATGATGCTGCCGTCAGCTTCAAGCTGCAGACACGTGCAGTAAGACTCGATATGTCCCTTTTCTGTGCGTCAAGACTCAGACATTAGTACTCAAGGAACAGTGCCAGTGTAAGTTATCGACGTGAGTCACTGGACGACGTCATGTCATCAACTAGAGAAAATGTGATAAGACGCAGACACGTGTTACTTCGGTGTGCGGTCTCGAGTCTGAATCACGAATGAAGCAAGACTGCGTCTTTTGTCTCATGTCTTGATGTTTGTTTTGACGCAATTGGTGTGTGACCGCCCTTAGATTTCTGTTGCCTGACTGTGAACCCAGCAGTTTGAAATTAACAGTTATGGAAACGCATTGTTCTTTGGCCAAATAGAATAAAATTACTGAACTTAAATTTTGAAATAATCACGTTGTAATTGAATATCTAATCCATGGGCTACTCTATGAATTCGATATTTGACTGTACGAATATACGAAATCAACTGTTTCATAACCCGAATGATTCTTATTTCTCAACATATTCCGCCATTAAAGCCTGATACATCAACCTTAAATTAATTTATGTTAAAAGTCGCATGTCAGTGTCGCCAAAATACTGGCCTTACATTTACAGGTGAGGTTGACTCCTATAATATTCTGTACCTATACTGAAACCTAATGTTGTGGACAATATGAAGTTATGTTCCATTTACACGATTTAATCTTGTCATGTGTTATGACAATGTTTTTGTCCATGAAATTCTTTTTACTTAAAAACCACAATCATATCTCCAAAACAAAAGCCACGTAGTACATACACTTATGTAGAACCTTTATTGTCTGCATCCTGTTGGGTGTTACAATGCTTTTTTTTTTTTTCGGGGGGAGCGTCAACATGGTCAACATACAGAACCGCAAAACAGGAACATTCAATAGTAGAAAAACGTCCGTACAACAGAAGCATACAAACACACACTCAAAGGAGAATATAACTTCAGTCGCGATGTTACGTAGGAAAATAAGGAAGAAATACATATAGAACTAGCAACAATAATCCGCGAGTAATCATCCATAACATGTAAGTAACCACCCACACCACGCAATGTATTATATTACTCATAATTCTGATTATAAAAGTACACGTTAATTTAATTTCAGAAAAATCAAACATTAATAGCGAATCCCAGAAGACATCACCCTCTAATACATGCCTAGCATCACGGAAACCCACAGCACACGGACGAGACACAAATGCTGATTTAAATAATTTTAGCCCTAAGGTTAACTGTAATAACAAAATACCAACATGTGTTATGACGAGGTATAGAAATCTACTATTTTAAAATAATACTAATTTGTTTCCATATTAGGATAATTCAGTAACTAGTAACTTATTTAAGAAAATGCCTGATGATGATCCAGACATCAACCGAAACATGCAGCATAAGATAAACTAAAACCAATGTTAGTACTGTGATATTGGACTAATTTTATTGGAAAAAGAAAAATTGTCGTGTTGACGGCCAAAAAAACGCTGAGTTATGCAGAATTCAGTTAACACTAGAAAGTACACAAAAAAAAATGTAACACATTAAAACTGATAAGAATTTATTGTTTCATACCTGGTATTAATGACAGTAAGGCAGGGATGTATTTACAGGTGTGAGAACCCTGAGGCAGTCAGAATGTGGAGAACCTTATCAGTAAAGCAAAGGTAAAGTTCTCTCTGTGTTTAATTAACTAAGCGATATTCCATGAAGACATATGGGATTGTGGATATATAGATCCACGTCTTCTTGACCTCGGCACTAGTTGGAAGTGAGTGGCCCTCATCAGTGACAACAATTTTTTATTACAATATTTTTTTATTTTATTATAACTAAAAATGTAAACAAACTTGTGGGATTGTCGATGTTCTAAAAGACAACCACGTAAAACTGTAACAATTGTGAATGTACAGAATATCTGCGAAGCTATGTGGAATGTCGATGTTCAAAAGTTGGCTTGCCCTGAAAAGGGCAGTTTGTTCCACTGTGAGTGCGCTGGCAGAATTTGCTCCTACGTCCATTTCCCCGCAATGTGATATTGACTAGGAGTGAGTGCTGTCTGTTAGACTGGCGATACCACGTGTTAGTATGTGGGATGTTCCCACAAACTCTTTGTGATATTAGAGAAGAAAATGTCTCAATAAAATATGTAGATTTAACTTGTCCCATTTTGGTCCGTCACACTATTAATTACAGAGTAGATAATGAAAAGTTCAGTCCAGTGTGACATACGAGTTTNGAGGACTGAAGTGTTGTAAACTCGTATGTCACACTGGACTGAACTTTTCATTATCTACTCTGTAAAATATGTAGATTTTATTTATTTTCTGGAGGCCCAAGATGGCCTGCCATCTCAGATGCTCCCCCTTAAATCTGATGGTGTAGTAATGTGTTTTTTTAACTCAGATTCTTACACTATTTTGAATAATGATATGCACTGTTCGTGTGGTGAATACAGTCCATTGTTCTGGCACATTTTACTAGGATATGTAATTTACAAGACAATTCAGGATGAGAACTGGTTGCCATTGATCTAGTTACAGTATGCTATAAATGTCATAATCTTGTATTACTGGAACAACACAAACATTGTATTGATTACCCTTATGTATCACAGTACTTGATTCAGCATTTCATAACCTATATTCTTCCCAGCAGAATATATTTACCATTGAGCTAACCTGCTTGGTACCACATGGCTGAATACCCAATATAAGCATTCACAGTTGTAGTATGATGACCTATTTATGTGAATCACCAGTAGCGGCGCAAATTGGGAGTGTGACACCATCTATGGGGCTCTTTCCCATGGCCTCGGAATAGGAAACATTTTCAATAAAGTAAACACACTATTAAAAAAGAACGCCCCAGATAAGTATATATTTGTCGGCATACATCAAGATCAATATCTTTATATCTTTATATGCACACATAATAGTACAATACAGGCACAATGAGCAGAAACATTGCTAAGTTAACAACAGATCCAACTACAAAAATATCTTCCACTTACTCTATACTACCCCTGAGCTTACTTAGAAATATCTTAAGCCAGTCAATAATAGCTTCACATGTATGCTGGTTCAGAATAGCCATTTCCAGCTCTGAACTGAACCCGAACATATTTGTATAAACTGAAATCAGTATGAACACATAAACATCACCATGCTTAAACAATTCAACTCTTTTAACAAATTCCCAAATAATCTTCCCTTCCCTAATCAAACACTCAAATACTTATTAAAATTTCTTTACAAGTACCAAACACATCATTTGATAAACTTAGCAATGCTTCTGTAGAAGTATAAACGTCACATTGAAACACATTATACACAAATTTCATCCTGAATATAATAAATATATTTCTTCTATGTTATATAACATCGTGACCCTTAGTTGTGAATGCCATTTTTATTAATTATTAATACTTTTCAAATACATTACATATACTCTTCTAGATATTGTAACACCAGTATATCCATATCCAAGGGCTTCACAACATGAACTGACTGAATACAACCCTTTTATGAAAGATAGTGGCTTCCAACAAACGTCAATGTTTAAAATCAAATGCTAATTCCCACTTTCATATAATTCCATAGCAACAGAATATAATGAACAGTTGAAGAACACAGATTGAGAGTGCTGATGAGAATGTTTGAACCTAAGACGGATGAGGTGAAAGGAAGGTAGAGAAAACCTCATGCTTTACCAATATTATTAGATTCATTAAATCAAAGAATGGTTCAACTAATTTTTCTCTTTGTATTTATTTTTTGAGAATAATTTTATTCCCATGATTCTGATTTCAGCATACAGGGAACAGAATGAAATGGATGCAGAATTTTGATTGGGAATCTTCTCAAAAGAGGCAACTTCAAAAATTGGGAAGGAAATTGGAAGATAAAATTAAATGTATATTAGTGAATAATGTTGTGAGAATGGGAGGTGGACGGAACTGGCTCATGTTCATATCTAATGAAGGACTTCGGTACTCATATAAACCATGCTGAACATTCAGGGTCTGTTACCACAGGGTTTATATAATAGGTTAAAGGTGTTAAAAAGATGCAATATTGCTTTTCCTCAGTTCTACTATTTTGGCTCATTAAACAAACAAAAACAAGCATTACCTCCCATATACCCAGCGTATAATTCTTATACAAATAATGATGATGACAATAACAAACAAAAACAGTAATAATAATGACAGTATTAGTTGTAGTAGTACTAGTAGTAAGAATAGTGGTAGTGGTGGTGGTGGTGGTGGTAGTGGTAGTGGTAGTGGTAGTAGTAGTAGTAGTTATTGGTATTATTACTGTTATTACATTACTTGTATTTCTGAATACAGTATTATTGATTTGGTTAGGAAATCATGTTATTTCAGTTCATAAATCTTAATGAAAAATGAAACTTACTACATGCTCAGACATAAAACTAGCATGTTGTCTCTTGTCAAATTTTGAAACTTCATTTCATTATTCAGTCAACACAATTCTGCTATAAACGAACCATGCGTTTGCATTTACTATATGTTTCGGCCTACTGCGGCCATCATCAGGTACATAGAGCTTTTACAATCACCGTTCTATTTGCTATACCTCCCTACATTGGCTAGCGATTACACATTGGGAGTGCACTGTACAGGTATGCTGTTTATATAATGCCCTTATGTTATAAAATGTATTAAATATTCAAATTTAAATTTTTTAATATACTATCAAGATTTAGGGGTGTGACTATAGACAGGGTATGGATTGATGAATAGATTTATTGACCACTTATAAACATCATGCAGAACTACGGGCACTTAAAATGCTATCACTGATTTCCGCACTTCACAAATCAACACAGCACATGTTAAGCCTTTTCCAGCCTGATGTGTCTTCACCAGCCATTCCCTGGTAAGGGTTTCTGTCAGTGGAGATTCTTCAGCTTCACGCGCTCAGAACATCTTGTCACAGCTATAGTGCCATCTCTTCTCAGCCTCCCTGGGAGAGCTCAACTAAACTGGTTGTCCCAATTCTCATATTTATAACTGCTCGGCTCGGACCGCGTAGACAACGCCCTGTTCCCCCGTTACATATGTAATCTTTGCAGCAGGAACGTGTTTATCAGGCCGTTTCCAAGAAAAGGATATAACCAACCATCTCACGACCGTTACGTGGCAACAGCTATACATGCTACATTGCTCCCACCTTAAGGCTATTTGTCCCGAATGGCCTACAGGCGTACAATCATTTCCTTTTCTAGGGCTGTGCTTGTGACGTCTGTGCTCGGTCTCGCCTTTCTTCTTTGTGGCTCAGATCTCATGGTGATTACTCTCCAACTGCTTCCGCTGATCCTCCTTCAGGCCATTCGTCCTGAGCGGTTCCCTCATAGGTTTCCAGTCAGTCCAGGTTTATCGCCATCATCCTCCTTTACCGATCGGTGGGGAAGAAACTACCTAAAGTAGCCGCTGCTCCTAAATCTCAGGCCTTTAAGCTGCTAGTAGTCTCTGCTTTCGTTTAGAAGGGGGCCAACTCCTCCATAATGTCCTAACACTCATTTTTCGAATCCTGACGGAAGATCTGGTTACTGTTTTTGCGATTTCCAACCCTAGGGTCTCCCTGAATTTCTCGTTACCATTTCCCTTGCTTCCCAGTCATAGCTGCTGTCTTAGGTCTCAGTACCTTAAGTCGCTGACAACTTCAGATTTCGCCCAATGCCTCTTCCCTAACATCTGTCCTTTCTGAGTTCCTCGTTCAAAATATTCTGGCCTTGTACCTGACGACCGCGTTCCTTACACCGTGCAGGAATTGCACAACAGAGCATCCCTCTTCAGGCGGTGGCAAACTCCTTCCGTACCCACCATTACCCTGGGTCCATTTCTTCGGCTGACCGCAGAGCATTACGATTAGATGCCGTTCCCTATACCGCTCCTTCAGTGCTCCAAAAGTTTCCACTGCGGCCTCTTCCTTAGGGATGTCCTTATGCTCCGCCTTGGACTCGCCTGCAAATCCGTGGCCTCCGTCTTTCTTAGACAGGCCTC